ACAAATGGCCCAACATTAATGAGCTATTAAAGCAATAAAGGGAAAAAATGGCAGACCAAAGCCCCACAAACTAGTTTGCCTTCTTCTAAATGTGAGGCCTTTATAAGATTTTTCCTACCCAAAGAGCTGAAAAAAGGCATTGTTAGTTCATTGTCACTAAGAGCCTGAGTATATTTAAAACATGTCTATCTTGGAACTCTTCCAGATCTTCATTAAGGAGCCTGTGATTTTTCAAGTACTCTCTCAACTCTCCTGGAGATTCATTCCAGGGAGAAAATAAACAAACCCCAAAATATATAAGTAATATATACTGTGTTAGATAATAAGAAGTGATTAGAGGACAAATAAATTGAAGAAATAAGTAGTGTTGAGCTGCAGAAAGGGAGATGTAGTTTTAGATAGTGTATCTAGTGAAAGTTCACTGAGAAAGTGATTTTTGAACAGAGATTTATAGAAAATGAGGGAGACACTCGTGAAAAAAAAAAAATCCCAGAAAGAGGAAAAATCCTGAGTTCTTGAGCCTATACTTGCTAAGTATCGTGTTTGATGTATTCTAGATAAGCAAGTCAGGAGAAATAAGAGATAATGAGGCCAGAGAGGAGACAGATCACAGAGATTTTCACGGTTTAGTGAAAGATCTTGAACTTGTACCCTAAGTGAGGTGGGACACCTTGGATGATGTGTCATTCATACGAAGAAATGGCCTCATCTTACTAATTTTTAATTAGTCCACTACTTGGCTAGGAATGAAGAGAAACGAATATAGGTAGATTTGATAAGGGGGTGTGGGGATAGATAAAAGCAGAAATAAGGTCACCAACTAGGAGCCTGTTAAAAACATCCAGGTAAGAGAGGATGGTGATAAAGACCAAGAATTAAACAGTTGAGATAGTGATGATTGTCAGATTCTCATTATATTTTGAATTTTGACGTAAAAGGTTGGTAGGCTAATTGGATTAGAGGCTTGAGAGAAAGGCACATCAATTGAACCTCCAACCCAATGCCTGTTTTTTGGATTGACCATGTAGAAGAATGTCATTGTCATTTACTGAAATAAGGGAAGCAGGAGGGGGGATGGGTTTGGGTAGGATTCATTTTGGTATTTTAATATTAAATTTGAGATTCATATTAGACATCCAAATGGGCAGACATATCAAGTAGACAGTAGCATATATATGAGCCTGGGTTTGGGGAGAGGTATAAGCATCCAGGGAATCATCAGCATATAAATTTAACCTATGGGATGAGATGAGATCACTAAAGGAGTGAATGCAAGTAAAAAATAAAACATGTTCAAGGACTAAGTCCTGGGGCACTTAAATGTTTAAAGGTCAGAAAGAAGAAGAAATGCCAGCAAAGGAAAGAGTGTAGCAGCCTCACTACCAAGTGAAAAAGGTATTATAGAGAGGAGCTATCAGCTGTGTCAGATCCTGCCTGCAGATCAAGACCAAGTAATTAAGTATATGAGAACAAAAATGAGGGGATTTACCAATATGGAGGCTGTTAATGACCTTGGTAAGAATAGACAAGTTTGAGTCAGATTGGAGTGGATTCCAGGTACATAGATTGGAGTGGATTCCAGGTATAATGAGGGAAAAAGAAACTGATGTAAAAATAAACTCAAGGAGTTTTGTTGTAATGGGAAAGACAGAAATGGAGAGTGGTAGTTGGAAAGAAAAGGGAGGTCAAGATGGGAGTTTAAGATGAGAAAAATAATAGCTTGTTTAGGTGGTGATGGGAGTAAGCTAGTGTAGAGTGGGCTTGTGTTACTACAGGAGGGAGAAGAGAAAAGTGCTTATCATGGTGTCCTTCAGAAGGCAAAAGGGGGTGGAATCCAGTGTAAAGGAAGGGGTTTGATCTTAAATAGGAGCACTGATATATATCTCACACCCAGTAATTGGAGAAAAGATGAGATATAGGGCAGATAGTGGCTGATGAGTAGACTTAGTTGAGGGTGCTTCTGAACATGTTCTGATTGCTTCCATTTTCTCAGTGAAAGAGGAATCACGGTTATCAGCTGACAGTGAGGACAGGAAAGGAGGTAATGAAGATTTGAAGAGAAAGATGGAGTAAATTATTTAGATAGCTATTATCTAAGATTACTTAGATAATTATTTTCTATTATTTTGATAGCTATTACCTAAGATGACTACTATCTAATGGAAGAATTAGTGGAGTTTGGATATGTGGTATGCCCAGTGGGAGGCAGCAAGGCTAACTTGAAGGTGGTGATTATGACATTAAAATGAGCCCGGGCCATCTGATGGCCTGCTTTTCTTTAGCCACATTCTGCTAGGCAGGTGCAGGCTTATTCCAGTAAATTTCAAGGGTGGAGTAAAGATTGCAATGAGGAAGATTATAGGGAAATAGTTTTAGATTGCCCATGGTTTTCAAGCGGAAAGAGGAAGGAATCGGAATAATAGGTCAAGGAATAAGAGGGCAGGATGTTGGAAGGATCATGTGGTTAATGAAATTGCCAGGAATTATGACCAGAGTTCCATAGTGTTGGAACAGATAAGAATGAGCAAAACATAAGACCTGCAAGGAACTGGGGACTTGACCAAGGTGAATTGACACCTGCAAGAAAGATGCTAAAGAATGTTAAAATCTGAAGGCATGAGCTTCACAAAGAAGAAATTTTAGAAAGCATAGAAAGAAAATCAATGTTCTGGAAGTGGATTGAAGAACAAGAATGTATACCCACCGCCTGGCCCTGGAGGACGAAGAATATTGGGAGAGAACAGACACTAAAGAGGACTACAGGGTACATGGTTACTTAGGGGAGAGTAAATTTTCAATTAGAGTGAAGATGAAGGGCCTATTCTTAACAGAAGCTGAGAATCTAGAGGATTTTTTCATGATTGACATTGAGTTCAAGAGTGGAAGGATTTCAGGAGGAAGGAGAATCAGGGAGCATTAATCTGGAGGGTGAGTGAGACCTAGGCTTCTTCAGTGAGTTTCTGTGTAATACGAATTTCCAACACAGCATGATTTTGCTTATGAACACCCTGCATCTTACTACTCCCAGGTCACAGACATGATTCCATTAACTCTCTTGAATTTTCCTGGTGACTAGGCAGTATCACACCCACTCCTGTTACAGTTCTCTTTCACACCTGGTTTGTGACCAGCCAAGGCAGCATATTGCTATGCTGTCACCCTGAGGAAGCCCTCACACCTCTGCTGATTATGCTGCCCTTGCTGATAGTGTTCCAGTAGGATCTAAAAATACACCCTCCCTCCTCAGCTGCCTCAAGCTCAAGTTACTTGCATACTAGCTTTTAAAACTTACAGCTACAGAGCACTTGTGCTACTTTTCCTTAAGATTTTCTGAAAATATATTACTTCGGCTTCTTATAGAAATATATTTAAAATGCATAAGAAACCTGCCACAATTAAAAACTTTGTTCTAAATAATGAACACAGAGCAAAGGATGGTAATACTAAAAAATATACATCCTTCTGCACCCCAAAATCATCTCTTTTGCCACTTAGGAAAATGACTGAATGAGTCAGTCAGTGAGACTCAGAACTTGCTCCTTCTCCCAGAGCTACCCACTTGGGCATTCTCCCAACTATTGTTTCTATTTTGCTACTGAGCCTCAGTGGTTTACATTTGGGAGAATCAGAGTCTGTCATTGTCCTTGAGAAGGTAATTTCAATTGAGATGTGTGGGGTAAGCTTTCCCATACAGCAGGGGAGGTGGCCCGCCCAGAGGTCCTGAGGGGGAAAGGGAATAAGCACCTTCAGGAGGTGTTACATGAAGGAGAGGCACCCAAAAGGGGAAAGAGGAATAGGATGAGGCTGTTGTGGATGCCAGGTTAAGAATATGTATTTTTTTTTTTTCTAGGATTAGCATGAAGCTACATGTGGGTCTTAAGGAAGTAGATGGAATGATTAGATTTATGTTTTAGAGGCTCCCCTGTCATTTGTGCCAAGAAGAGAATGGAGAGGCACATTTGGCAGAGGCCACACGAGACCTGATGGCCTTGAGTAGAAAGATGGTGGGGGCCACACAGGATCAGGGAGAGCTTTAGGGATATTTAGGAGATGAAAGACTCACATAGTGTTTGTTCAGTTATTCAGATTAGTTCAGATTAGTTCAGAATAGTTATTAGGTTGTTCAGTTTGTTCAGATTAGTAACTTCAGTGAGTGGAGTGACATGGTAGATGGTGGTGAAATACATTGACGTGAAGAACTCCAGAGGAGTTTTGCTGTTTAAACAAGGGAGATATTGTTCAGTTCAGATTTAGACAAGTTGAATTTGAGGTGCCTTGTGTGACATCTGAAGAAAGCTGTTTTTAAATTGAGTAAATGGGTCTGAGCTCAGTAGAGAAGTGGAAGCTGAGAGAGGAATGTAGACTCACTAGCCTGTGCTTTAGGTGTGATTGTGAGTCCTGATGGTCTCCAGCAGCCTCTCCTGTCACCTTGGTATGTGAGCTCATGTGCGATCGAGTTCCCACCTCAGTAAGCTCATTCAATAGAACTAAAGTTGAACTGCTGTCAAAGGCTGCATTGAGAATTTTCCCTTTGGGAAAAAAAGCAAAATAAATTGTGTGGGTTTTGTGCTATTAATTATTGAGATGTAGAAAGTATTTTTTCTCCTCTTTTTTTCCTTTCCTGTGTACTGTGGTAGCATCTGGTAACCGGCCTGACATGTGTGAGTACATTGCCATAACAGAAAGGTCATCCTGTGGGTTGACTTCCCTTGCGACCAGGGAGGGTTAAGGGACACATTTTACAATCCATGCAGCGGTATCTGCTCCTCATTTCACATGGACACATGCTGCTTATAATCAGATTTGAGAGCCAGAAATGCATGTTTACCTACGGTATAATTACTATAAATGTCTCGTTTATGCAACTAGATTAATGTTTTCAACTCTAGAGAAATGTTACGTGTTCGTCACTTTTTATTTAATATTTAAATTATTTTAAAATTATTTTTAATTACTTTATCTAATTAATGCTAACTTATTTTTATTTTCCTGGTTAATAGATCACCGTCCTAGATGAGACATGGTCGGTATTCAGGCGGTATAGTCGTTTTCGAGAAATGCATAAGACACTGAAGTTAAAATATGCAGAGGTAAGTAATGAAATAATTATCTCCCATTAAGAACATTTGTTTACTAAAGTTAATAAGCTGATAGGATTATCATTGTCATCTCTTTAGATAGTAGTTGACAGGTGTCATTAGGTTTTATATCGATTACTCATCAGTCAAAGAAAACTTTTTTTTTTTTTTATGCAAGAACCGGGGTATAGGCCAGATGCACGGGAGGGTGAGGATTCATCAGAGACAGAGCGGGGAACAAAACAGGCAGACTGACGAAATACACTGCTGAGGGGAGCAGCGGGCAGGACAGGAGAGGTCTGCTCACCATGTGGGTTGCTCTGAGGCTGGTGGGGATCGAACCTGCACTGCAGAGGCTGCAGACAGCTTCACTGCCTGCGCCACCAGGGAGGCCCAAAGATAACTTTTAAGTTTTGTCCTTTGTTCTATTTCTGTTCTACATCATTTAAACATTTTCTCAGCATATGATTTTGAAAGTCAGAGTAAATGAATTCTGTCCTTTTTATAAATTTTACGATGACTTAAATAAATATTTTAATCAATTTATAACTTCTCAACTGTGAGACCTATTAAAATGAAATAGTAATAAATTCCTCAGTATAGATTTTCCCTTTTTTCTCTTAAAAAAGATTATATTAATGCTAAGACTTCCACTTAATGAAAAGTCAAGTTATAAAAGTTAATTTGTCATTGAACATGGAGGGGAGAAGTGGTGAATATGGAATTATTTAGAAGCAAAGAGGCATTTTTTCATGCATTAAGATCCAGTGCAGAGTGTATTGATACATTAATAATCTTTGTTTTCTTAGACTAAAGCTAGTTTTAAGCTAAGAAACGTATTCCTAAAATCATTGTGCTTCTCTGGTGAATGTATTGCTATAATTATTATTTTATTTCAACAGGAACCTTTGTATCATTGTGAATTTTGGTTTGAACTGACTGCAGATCAGTCAGTAGTTGTAGTCTTACACTGACTGTTGCTTTTCAGAACTATTTTGATAGCTTCTTATGAAATCCTAAAAAATTATTTAGACATTTGTCCCTAGCTAGATTAATATTAAAAAAAAAAAGTAAATGTTCTAGCATTTCTATGTCTTCAACCCCTTTTTATCTGATATACAATATAAAGAGAAATACCTTTGTAAACAAAATGGTTTTTTGATATGTAGATGACAGGGGTACAGGTCAGATTATCTCTGAAATTTTATTGTCAAGCTTTCATAATACTATTCAAGTTTTAAAAAGCCAGAAGACATCAGGTATGATTTATAATTCAGTGTTCTCCTGCCTTCAATTCATGAAGTAACTGCATGAAAGTCAAATTAACTTTGTTTCTGCAGTTTATCCTTCATGTCCCAAGCTAACACTGACAATAAAAATGTGGAAATATTGTGTATATCTTGAATGAACAGAGCAACTTGATTTTAAAGTTAGCTATGCAGCTCATTAACTGCTTGGTTGTAAGTTACTACATCAATTCTTTAATAATATGTAGACTTTTATGTTAACATAGTAAATTTCCCCAAATTTGAGAAATTGTGAGAAAAAATAATTTACTTGAAAGGACACAAGTTTGGCCAGGATTATGCATTGTGTGATTGTGTGTGTGTGTGTGTGTGTGTGTGTGTGTGTGTGTGTGTGTGTGTGTGATTCATTCCATGCTTTGGTATCAGTTCTTTCCTTGGTTCAGTGCACTCTGTAGTCACAATTTTGTAGAATCTAGTAATATATTAATGAACTGAAAGCCAAATATAAATCTTTCCACTAATAAATCTTAAATTCCTCTTAAACAAGGCTAACTACAAAGAAGGAAGAAAATAGTAACTAATTCTTAAACAGTAAACATGCCAGGTGGCAGCTGCCATTTTAAATAAGATACACACCTTGAAGGAAAAGTAAGTAAAGTGTGGTGAGGTGGAAGGTGTTGGGCACTTTAGTGTAAGGTCACTTCAGGTTTGGACTCTGATGAAATGGCATTTTAGTTGAAATATTATGTGAAAAATATTTAAATGAGTTGATCATTAACAACACACAATTCTAGTCAGTAAAACACAGAAGAATTCAGAACAAGCAGCAGCAACCCTTAATTATACAATAGAAACAACTTACCTGAGGTTAACAACCATTTGAAACAGTAAATCGAAGAGGTTGCTTGGTACCAGGCAAAATTAGTAAATAGAGAAGATCACTTATGTAAAATTCTTTTCAAGGGAGAAAAGATTATATTACATACATGCTAAAATAAAAATTAACTCCAAGTGAGGACAATCCTGCTGATTTTATTCATTGATTCACTCATAAATCTGGATGTAGCCACTCTGCTCTGCAGTTGGTATCAGGACAGCCACATTCCCCCCACTTACGAAGCAGAAGGAATGGAGAATGAACAAACAGAAAAACAAATAAGATAATTTTGGATGTCATATGCCATGGAGAAAATAAAACAAGGCAGTGTGACAGTGTGACAGGAGGACTGGGCATGGGCTGCTTGAGATGGGCAGGCAGGGGAAGCTTTTCTGAAAGCTTTGAGCCAAAGACTGAATTGTGAGAGAGAGCTAGGTGTGAAAATCTAGAGATGAGCAACAACCTAAACGGCGAGAGAAGCAAATACAAAGGCCCTGGGGTGGGACCAAGCTTGGCATTTTTAGAGACCAAAAGACCTGTGAGAAGTGGCAAGTATGGTAGAGATGAGGGCAGGGATATAGTAAAGAATTGGTCACATAAAGCCTTGAATTTTACTCCTGGTGCTGTAGGAAACCACTTTCTGATATTACAAATTGAACATTGAAACTCAGCTGGAGTTTCTCTTCTCTTCACAGATGACCTCTTACAGAAACCTTTTTCCTAAAGGCAGACTCATGATCTAAATGATAACCAAGAATAGAAATTGCTTTCCTATGTTGACTGCAACTTTGTGACTTAGAATTTTTCTCATAACAAAAAAAAAACATTATGAAAAAGAACCATTAGTCATGTGTATGTGTATCTTTGAATGAGAGAGAATGTGAGTAGTGATTTGAAACCATGTGGTAAGACCCCAAAACCAACACAGCATGTAGAAAGGGAAGCTGTGCTAATTATAAAGCCCTGGGGCAGGGTATGTGTGTGCTCTTGATCTTTTTTATAACCACAATCTGACCTCTTTCCTCATCTTTCACTGAGTGATTGCCATGTCTAGGGTGTGTGCTACATTTATTGCCATTCACGATCTCCTGTGGTTAGAGTGGGAGACTTCCCTCATGTCACACAACTGGTGAGCAGAAGCCATTGTAGAAGTCCAGGCACTTTGTTTCTTATTTCTAAGCTACCAATAAAATACAAGTGGGAAAAAATATCTTTAAAAGCACATTAGCATGTCATTGTAGATCTTGGTAAATTTTATTTCAGTGACAGAACACTATTGCCTATTTAACATTTTCAAGATAAAGCTTAAATATCAAGGTATCACTATATTTTTACCTGAGAATTTGACTTTTTTGTGTGTGTAGTCTAGCTTCATTCACATCATCTTCCTTTCTCAGTGTTTGTTGGAATTTGAGGTCAATAATATGTTTACCAGAAATATATCAATCTAGTTATATCAATTTAGTTATTCTTATTATTCAAATTATTGCTCTCTCTGTGTATGTTAATCTTTTTGATATAGCCATCTAGCTCAGATGGCCTATTTTACCTAATAGCATCCTAGAAATCATATGACTTTTTTTTTTTTTTTAAAGATTTATTTATTTATTTATACAAGCACTGGGTACAGTCAGAAGCACGGGAGGGTGAGAGAATTCACCAGAGCCAGAGCGGGGAGCAGAGCAGGCAGAAGGACCGAAGTACACTGCTGAGGGGAGCAGCGCGCGGCAGGAGAGGTCTGCGCACCATGTGGGACCCTCCTCAGGTGGCCGGGGAGCAGCTGGGGATCGAACCAGCGCCACAGAGGCCGCGGGCAGCTTCGCAACCCAGCGCTCAACCACTGCGCCACCGGGGAGGCCCCATATGACTTTTTGAAGACATGTTATCTTTAGGAAAGCCAGGGAGTTCATACAGAAGCATACTGAAAATTTCCTCTCAGGGATGTCTGTTTCATAGCCAAATGGGAACAAGTTTTATTTACTTTACTCCTTCACCAGATTGGACTCTATTTCTATACAAGCAGAGAACTACTGCTGTTCTCTTAATTGCAAGGTAACAAAATGGTTGATGATAATTCTCAGTAATATACATAAATCTTACCTAATCCTACAAGGGTCCAAATTTTAATCAAGCTGGGAAAATATTGCAAAAAATCATTCAATTTAAAACATGCAGAATTTATAGTATATTTGTGAAGGTGCAAAGACTTTTTGTTTACCCTGGAACTTTAGTTTTGTTATGTACCTTATAATCTTTTGAAAGTTTGTGTAAAGTTACAGCCTATTTATTCACATTTCCTTCTGGAGTTTTGCCTTGTTCTCCTGGGGGGTATACCTCTAAAGCAATTTGATTTGACATTTACCTTCATGGAGATTTTTTTTCTTTCAGTAATCTCTTCAAATAATAAATTACAAGTTTATGGTAAAAGATTGAAATTATTCAAAGATACATCCATGAATTTGAACATTTTTCTTACTCTGACCCTCTGAAGTAAACATTTACAATTCCTGCAGGTGGTGTTCTTAGATTCAACTAAACTTTAATTCTCTCAGGACTCCCGTAAGTTATACTGAACATCACAGGACCTGAGAAGGTATAAAACAGGGGCCTTTGCTTCCCAGCAGGGCCAAGACTTGAAGAGGGCCTTGCAGCAGTGTCTGCTGTTGTCCATTCAGCTGTCAGAGGAGCTATCTCTTTGCTCCATCTCTCTCAAGTGATAGTTTAGAGCTAGGAAATGAGATCTGTGTTGAACAGATTCAAAATTGTTATGACATAAAATCCGGTACCACAAGGAAGCCAGTATCTCTGGGTAAAGCTCCACAGGGAGAACTTCTAGAGTCCCTACAAGGAACTAGCTGAATTACAGGAGTCTCTCACTGTGAGAAACC